GGTCATCTAGGCCCTGGAGATGCTTCAGGGAAGATGCAGGATCCCACTGCACTGCAGAGCTCAGATCAGCAGAGACACACACTCAACATCTAACTGTACAGATCAGGTCAAGGTCATTGTGACAATGAGCAAAAAGGAGAAATACAGTGAAATAAGGGAAGGAAACATCATTTCTCTCCTGACGCTGGAGTGTGGGCTTTCTTTCTATCTCAGCCCCCTTCATAGACTTCTCTTTTCTCTTGCAACAGCGTCGAAGCCCATCTCTCTGGGAACAAACTTCTGAGTTATCCCTGCCTTCTCAAGGCCCCTTGTTCCCCCAGGCAGAGTTGTCCTCCTCATCCTGGGGTCCTGACTATAAGCTTTAGGGGACATTTATTTGGGTTAGAGCTCCTATTTTGAAGAAAAAGATGACTTTTATTTAAATACTCATCCACCATCCAGTGCTTGTGCACATGGGAAATAACCTCCTGTCCATCTCCTTGTCTGTTTCCTTGTTTAAATCATGCTATCATGAACCCCACTCCTCGGAGGAGTTGCGGGTGTCTACTGACACCAGTAGTACTGGGAACTACTTTCCCAGTTCACAAGAGGTGATCAATCACTGTGAATTTTCAGACCAGGTTAAGACATGAGGGGTGTGGGATATGAGAGGATCATGATATCGGACTCCACAGTCAAGGTGGATGTTTGTTGTGCACATTCAAGAGCAAGAGCCCTCATCTGCCCTTAATACCAATAAATGCCACTTATAAAAATTCTGAAATATGGAGAAATATTCGTATATAGGAAAAGAGAAATGAGATTTTCTAAAATTGACAGGAAAATACAAGAAAGAACAGAGAACAGAGCTGAGTAGCTGCCAGTGCCCGGGGCCATCAAGGGGTCACAGAGCAGAGGTTTCCACCTATGTGGACGGGAGAGGGACCCTAGGGTCCTTACAAGAGGGAGCAGTCAGGGCTCCAGTGAAGGCTACAAGCTGTGGTGCCCCTACCTTGTGTTTGTGAACGAACACAGGAACAAGTCTGCTCACTGACCAGGCCAATGGTCAGCACTGAGTCACCTCCTCTACGTGTGTGTGAAACAGCTTCACTGCAGTTTTCTCTGACACGATCGTCTGTCCCACATGTGAGCCTGAGGCTATCATTGCACCATCCCTGATTCACACGACCCTGAGCAGATGTAAAATTTGGGAGACTGAATGCCATGGGGCAGGAAAAGCTGAAAAAGTCCCCCCTTATCAGCCTGACTCCCAGGACAGCCCTGGGAAAACCCCTCTAAGAAGATCACGAGTGTGAGGGAAGAGTGTCCAGTAAGAATGGACATCAAAGCATAATCTGAGTAATGATAAACAGTGGTGTGAACATCAATCTTCTGAGAATAGGGATTATAATATCTAAGGAAATAGAATCAATAGGAAAATATTAGAATAATTTAAAATTAAGCATGTTTAAATATCTGAAAACATAAAGGGGGATAATGAACTTTTGAGGCAACGATATGGATTT